CTTAGCCAAGAGGACTACAGGCATTAAAAATATAGTGGCACAATGTCAAAATAAAATTTAAGGTCTAAGCATAAATTGAAACAGAAGCAAGCAAAACAAACCCTACATTTTTAAAGAAGAGAAAGAATGGCACACTAATCTTATTTCATCTGAAAATAACTCATCTGTTCCTGGGTTCATGACAATAATTTTAATTTTAAACATATGCTAGCTCATACAGACCCAATTAAATGTAAATGCTTTTTATTTTATTTTCTTTTATTTAGAAAGAATGAAAAGCCTTTATGCGGGACTAATGAACAAAACACTTTGAAGTGCTTTTTCCTGTCAAATTATTTTGGCTTCTTCTGGAGCATTTCCTTTTGCCTTATAACTTATTTTCTTAATGTAATTTTTTTCCATGTTGCTAAGTATTCACCTTAATAGTTTATAGTTAAGTAATTGTACTAAAAACACTGTGCTACTTATGAAACTGCAGTGAAAATCGTGTATTTGAAGTGTATCGTTTTTTGGTTGTTTTTTTTCCTTCAAAGTTTTTATATGCAATTAGGCATAATGGATTATAGTTTGGGTGTTGAGTTGTTTTTGGTGTTTTTTTTAATATGAGCTTTTGGAAAACAGCCTGAAATGCTAAGCTTCATAGTTTGCAAACAAAAAATGCCGCTGAAAAGTTATTAGGAACATACAGAGTTGCACATCTGCAGCAATTGTACTGTCCTGTAACCGATTTTCCTTTTGTCTCCAGTGTTCGGGCATGGAGGAAAATGCTAAGACCTATACGTCCAATACAATCAAATTAGAAGAGCTGCAGTTCTCTATTCTGTAGACACTGCAAACCTGTCCCTCGTTTTCTTAGGTTTGGAGGCAGACAGCAACTATTTGAGCATGCCCGTTTCCTCTGAAAAAATCATGGGAGTCATGAGGTGTTAAAATTAAAGTAAATAGCCTGCTCAGGACAGCTTAAGTGCATTAGACTGTCTTGGTGGGGTTCAGGTGCCCAACCATAAGTCTTTAACATTACTTTGAGTCTCTAACATTGTCCTAAGCATCCCAAAATATCCGAGCCCTCCTTGCAAGACCAGTGTCTGTAGTAGGAAGATCTGCACCTTGGTGAAGTGGCAGCTGGAGGCCATGTAGGCCTTCTTTATGTCAGCCTTTTCAGAGTAGGTGCTGCCCTCACCTTGGCAATGCTTCTGTCTTTTTCTCACATGTGTTGGATCCAGGATTCTTTTTGATCCCTGGAGATTTTAGTCCAGGGGACCCTAATTTGCTAAATTGAGTAGGACTACCAAGAAATTCATCAGCATTCTCTGGCAGAAAGTAATAAAAAGCAGTCCACAAGAGACACAAAGGTTGACAGAGCATGTATGTGAGTTTTCTCCTGATCACGAGGACCTACTTGCAGTACAAGTTCTAGCCACTCCACGTTTAACTGCACACAGATGAACAGTTCACACTGCACATCCATGCAGTGGCTCATTAAAAAAGTTTCCTATTCAGGTGGATTTATCTTTGTGCTTTTCTTAAATTAATTCTCCTCCAAATCACACCGAATTGTCTTTAACATCTGAAGCAAGGTAGGAAACCAATATGTACAAAGAGAGTAGCTATAGCCCAAGAGAGTTCTTTCAGACGCAAGATGTTAAACTGCTTTTTGATCAGCTGCTTGTAGAAATGTACATTAAACTGTAAACCATCGTTCTTCTTGTAACCAGCTAATGATCCTATCAGTCGCAGACTAATTGCCTCTATCTTGTTCTAAATTCTGCTGCATTGAAAAAGCCAAAGTCACATTCTGTTCCTGTTAATCACATTCAGCTTTGAAGAGTACATAGTGGTTGTGTGTTAATTCAACTTCTCTCCCTGGTAATTTGTTTGATTGCCTGTTACTTGCAATCTGCACTAACTGAATGAATGTGTTCGGCATCGTGATGGGAAGTTATGACTTGTGTTTCAGCTTTTTGAATGCCAATGTTTTGCCTAGAAATTGGGGTAAATTCTTCTAACCTTTCTGCTCTAAAGTACTTTAAATAGGAAGAATGAAAAGCAAGGATGTTAAGAAGGTAATAAATCAACAGAATAAAAGCTATAGTTCTTTAATACTAGTTTAATAGCAATCTCTATTCTCTGAAGGCTTCTCCTCAGCTTATGAATAAATAAGTAAATAAGATGCTAAAGTATGAGAAGGAGGTGCTGGTGCTATATCCTTTTATTCTTTTCCTCCATCTCCAACAATATGTATTATCTCTGTTGTCAAGACCTAGAACAGAGTCTGTGCATTAATTACTTTTTTTTTTCATTTTTTAAATATAACACACACTCACAAACACACACAGCAATTCAGAAAAAGACTGAACATATACCAAATTGCCTTTCAACTTCCCACATAATTTTTCTGAACAAGAGTACAAGGCCACTGGATATGTCCTATAAGCATAAAAGAATTGTTACTAGGACATTTTTATTAACACTGGATCTGTGTGATTGTAAAGATTTAGTGTGATTTTACCTTTGAAACCCCCTGAATCTTAATGAGAATTTTTTATCCCTGTTCTGAATTTCAATGAGAAACAGTCTGAATGTCATGGCCATGTTAAATATTTGTGAAATCCTTTTAGATTACTTTCAACATTTTAAAAATAAACATCTTTTCATGGAGGCAGTTTTTAAGCTAACAGAAGAGGCATTAACTTTTAGTAGAATTCTCTGCTAAAAGGAGGTTACACTTGAAATACACTAATGTCAAACTTATCTATGAAGAGAATCTGAAGTTGACTCTGAAATGATTAGTTCAAATGCTGCTGGACCTATTAGTGATTCCTTATGAGATCGACCTGCTTGAAAAACTGACCGTTCAGACCCCAGAGTATTTAGAAGCAAGGTCTGAAGACCTGGTGTTTATTAAGTCATGAAAGATTTCTACTAATTAGCAGTGTTTAATTCCCAGAGACTCACTTGGACTGTGAAAGCAAGCCTTCCTGCACTCCTTACAAAAGAAAGAAGTTCTGTGAGAGCATCCAAATCAGACTTCTGCTCTGAGTGATTGCTAATTGAGTCCCTCTATTTCTCCATTGATCAAAGAGAAAACAAAAAGAATTTTCACCTTCCAAAGATATTTTCCTCAGATTCTGGGATGTACCTCTGAGCAATGTTCCTTCTGTTGGATGCCAGTAAATCAGTTCTTTCTATTAGAACCAAAAATCTTGGTTCATCTGTAGACAGTCCCATTTTCCACTTGTCATAGTGTTTCAGTATTGATGCTTTTAAGTTATTCCTTTTCCTAAACGAACTTGCTTCTCATTATTTGGTACCTCTCTTCAAGTGTTTAGTAGAGGTCTCCGGTTTTCCTTGCCTGATTGCTCTACAGTCATTTTTCCTCTTCTTTTCTTATAAATGTACTCTTACATTTTTCTGTGTTTTCTTCTTTATAGGGTCCACACTGTAATGTCCATCTTTCAAAGGCATCTGCTTAGACTAGCTGACTTCTTATGCCTGTTTATCCTGTCTTCCTTTATGATTAATTTCTTATATTTGGTATCACATCTGTTCTTCTGCCTTTCCCCACATTCCAGTCAAAATCTGGCCTGCTTTGGGAGCCTTCATAAAATGGAGAGACTGGATTTTTTGCATTTGATCAGTCAGAGATTCTTTATTTCTCCACCTCTTTTTATTTTTTTTGCTGTAAAAACATATCACTCATCTTCTTGTGGAGTTCAGCTCTCCTCTCATTTCACTGTAATATTTTTACTATTAGTCTCTCTTGCCTGATTTAACACACAATATTAAAAATGACAGCTGCTTCACAGCCATTTATTGTTTGAAATAAATCTACATTTTTTTCTTTTTTTTTTTTTTTACTAGCTTGCTGCATTGCTGGAGGACACAGATTGAAGCATCAGTTTTACCTTCACATTTCAAGAGAATGTCAGTTTTCATAGGGAATAAAACTTCTCCTTTATGCCTTTAAAAATAGGTTATTAGGTCAATTTACTTCTGTTATTGTATACTGTTCCTTGATCATTTTAATCCAAGGCATCTGGCCCAAATCTGTTATATTTAGTGCTGAGTTCTGGTTCAAAAGACTGATCACAGATATCAGTTTTACCTTCACATTTCAAGAGAATGTCAGTTTTCATAGGGAATAAAACTTCTCCTTTATGCCTTTAAAAATAGGTTATTAGGTCAATTTACTTCTGTTATTGTATACTGTTCCTTGATCATTTTAATCCAAGGCATCTGGCCCAAATCTGTTATATTTAGTGCTGAGTTCTGGTTCAAAAGACTGATCACAGATGTGCTGACCCATGTGAAAGCCACTTGAAATCCTAGATTATATTAGGCTTTAAGATTCCTGCCTTGCATTTTTAAAAGTCTTGTGCTAAGATTATAAAATAAAGAACTCAAAAAAAATCAAAGAAGGAAAAAGTCAGAGCTTTAGAGGTAGAAAAAGAAATGAAGGCTTAAAGAGAGAAGAAAAGTTCAGCAGAAAAAGAAGTATGATAGCAAATGTTTTTAAAGACTTAGTAAAACACAAACTCAGTGCAAAAGAAATGGAAATACACTTGGAGAGTCAGCCTCTGACATGTTGTATTCTGATTATTAGGAGCACATGGGAACACTTTTTTGGCTACAAATTTGTTGCAGTGGAGACTGCTCTTTTGTTGGGACTCTGTGTGGCACCTAACACAATGGAAAATGGAGCACAATTAGCCTTGTGCCATTAGGTGGTATAAACAATAAATAACAAAAAACAAAAGTAAATTGACTTGAAGGTTGGAGAAGGAAGCCATGGGTTGCTCTCTCACCATGCAGTAAGGAGTTTCTCAACAATCCTGGGTTTTCCTACCTGCATCCAACAACTGTCTGTGAACAGTGTGTGTCGTGATGTGATGCACCACTTTGCTTTGGTGTGTTGTGAAGTCAGATTGTGAATGGAAACTGTTCTAATTACGTTCTCCTGGTTACATTTTTTGCTCTTATTTTTGTTTTGTTTTATTTAGGTTGACCTTCTTGTCCCTACAAAAATCACTGGCATAATTACCCAAGGAGCTAAAGATTTTGGTCACGTCCAATTTGTGGGGTCCTACAAGCTTGCTTACAGTAACGATGGAGACCACTGGATCATATACCAAGATGAAAAACAAAGGAAGGATAAGGTAAAGCAAAGAGAAAATTGATATTTCTGTTGCATTTACAGAGGACTACATCTGTTGTAACTTCAGTGCTGGAAGCCTGTAGATTATTGCATGCTGCCTGCTTTATGGGGTTCCATATGCATAAGATCCCACAGATAAAAGTCAAGGTGAATAAAAAAGAGTCATATAACACAATGACATTCACAGTGTAGTAATATCATACCTATCAGTGCAGTGCACCTGATTTAACGCTATTAAATATGGGTCATAAAACTTTACAGTTCTCCATTTATTGGAATTATTTCTTCCTTTAACTCTAGAGGAGAAGGTACATCAATACTGGTTTATTTGTATATTCAAAAACTGTCTCTCAGTGCGTAATTTGGTAAGTATGCTCTATTTTCTGTAATTCTCTGTAAAGCACACCTGTAGTGTACCTCATTACCTAGCCATTCTGGATTGATTTTTTTTTCTGGAAATTGATCACTAGAGGTTCAAATACCCAATGGAAAGATTATTTTTTATTACAGTATTAAAAGAATATAAAACATAAAAATTTTCACAACTTCCTTTGCAAACATTTAATGAGAGGTGTAGAGAAAGTATAGGTTTGCTGATTGATTAACTTGAAGCGTTTAACTTTTATGTTGTTATCTAGGATATTATTCATTACATCTTTCCCTTAAACTGTGTAACACTTCTACACTGCAAATACCTGAATTTGTAATATCATCTGTTAAGGTATTACAGCATACACATTGCTTAAGGGAATTGTTAAGCAAGCTGACAAAAGGTGAATTATTAAATGTCTTAGTGGGATTATGTCTGATTGAAGCAAAAGATACATTAATAAAAATACCAGATGGCTGATACATCTGATAGTGCACGTCTCAAATCTGGTGTTTTTAACAGCAGTATTCAGAATGACAAATGTTCCCACTTGTACTTATACTTTTACTTAGAAAAAACAAAAGTTGCTCAGTAAAAAATTAATACCTTTTGCTTTGAAGTAATGAGAATACTTTTGATATGTATTGATAATTGTTGTATGAGTACAGGTAGATCTATTGATGAGAGGTTAGACAGCTTCACTGACTTTAAATGATTAATCAAATATACATGCATTTATTAGGTAAAGGTGTCCTAAATTACTGGATTACATATGTACATAACTTTATGTGTGTGTCTGCATGGACATGTTACATTTGTAAGTGGTTTTTTTCCTGAAGATGGCACTGTAAAGTCCCACTTTTTAAAGTGAAATGGAAGCTTGCTCTGGTTTTAACCTGCGCTGAGATTTTTCCCCATTAAATTCTGAAGGATTTTAGATAGAGAAAACAAAATCAGTTGTTTTAGCCATCCAACTGAGAAGGTCCTGACACCAGTTATTATGGATATGTCTAGTATAATTGGTTGTCAGATAAAAATTGGAAACAAACAACTCACCTTTCATAGATGTACCATAAATGCATTCAATATAAATGACAGATAGTCACTTCAGTGCTTTGTACACATCCCATTTTAAATCCCTGGCATTTGAAAACAACAGCTAAAGATCTACTGTGAAAGAAATGTCTTCTCCAAGCCAAACTCCTGTTAGCAATCTGTTGCATTCATTTTATTGAAAAAGAGACATGTGTTCACGTCTCCAGTGAGAAACACAGCAACAGTCACAAGCAAATCTAAAAGAAAAATGCACACTCTCACTTAAAAGCACCGTTCCAGTCTGCACTTGTTTTTAACATTTGCCAAGGCATTTAAATTCGTCTTACTTTCATCATCAGCTGGATTGTTAATTGTGACACACGTATTCCATTAGAAACAACAGAAAACTCTTAATCATTGTTTTATTAAAGCTTCTCACATCTCAATTAACATCCTTAAGAATAAAACAGATGCATGTTACTATGATTTTTTAGCAAATTAAGAGCAATTAAAAGCAGAATGTGATCAAATACACTTAGCTGGAAATGAGAAGTTATGACTTCTGAATTTAAATTTGTATGAAATAAACAAACAAGATCACTTGACACAAGTCTAGACCTCAGTCTCTGATACACAAACATTAATCCAAAATATCTGACTGTTTTAAAAATTTTCCTTTTGGCAAAGGTCAAAAGTCTGATGGCAGAGACTAACATTCCAGAAATGCTATCTGTCAGGCAGTGAACTTTATAGGAGGTAGAACCAGGAAGGACCTCAAGACAGCACCTAGACATGTACCTCTTGACCGATGCTTATCTCCTTCCATCCCCTCTAAGGTCGACTCAGCAGAAATGGGATTCAATAACCTCCAAGTCACTTCCTGCCACCCTAGGAGTAGGTGCAAATAGTTCATTGTTAGAACCAAGGCTTAATTTGTTCACCTGTCCTTCACCTCATACAGCGCACCACTCTCCATCAGATTATTATTTAATATTTTCATAGAAAGGGCCAATGATTAAAAATCTACAATATATACAGGCTACTCCAGTGTTAAAATATCACTAAAGGTGGAAAGGTTGCTTATCCCCCTGCCTGCGACACACCTGCCTTGTCCACGGAGGACACAAAAAACTGATTTTATCTTCACCTTTTCAGACAGGTTGTTTTGGTTGAAGTATATTAACCTATTTCTTCTCAGTTTCTTGGGAAAAAATATTCTTTGTTCTTTTGTTCTTCCCTCAAAGAATATGTTTTCCCAACCTCAGATCATTCTTCTTGGACCAGCTTTTCCCAAAGTGTGGTCTCCCAAACTTGAAATTTTGCAATATTTCACTCAGGACTATTGCCTGCTCCACTATTCTCCATGTTGTACCTGTGACACTGGTTACAACTTGCTAAGGGTTGGTTTGCTGCTCATCAATATTAAATTTCACCATTGATCTTCTGCACATTTCTTTAGTTTATCCAGACCACTCTGAATTTTGATCCCACCTTTAAAAATGGGAAAAACTTGACCACATCTGCACTTACAACAAGCAAATCTATTTCCATCATCCATTTCATTACTGGGAAAACATGAATTGCATTTGGCACAGAGCATCACCCAGTAAACCCTTCCACAAACCCTCCATCACTGCTCCAGCCAGGTGTGTATTGCTGCAGTGCACTCTGATGGAATTTGCCCACTGGATGCGTGTAGCACCACAAATACAGTCAGCACCCTGGCCTGTGTGCAGTGGAATGAAAATATAAATGAGAAATAGAAACAGCTGAAGAAAAAGCAATGTTGTGAAACATCCATGGGGAGCAGAAGAGAAATAACAGCATTGGTCCTGCCTGATGATAACAACTTTGCTCAGGATCCACAACAATTTCCTTAGCTTAAGTTAAGGTACAAGATTTGGCCCAAAAGGCAAGAATACTGTAGAAGAAACCATGTTTTCACAGCAAAGAGAAACTTTAATGAAAAGTTTCTTCTGGCAACTGTCAACAGCAGCAAGCATAATTTATTCATTATTTGCACTCATTCATTTATTAACTGAACATCTCAATTTCTTCTATGAAGGACAGAATATATGGATCTTATTTCCTTTGCAGGTGATATACTCATCTTGTACTCATCCTGTGATCCTTGTACAATCATCCACTAATTTCTTAGGAAGAGGGTTCCAAAAACTTTCAGGGAAAGGAAGACAGGATGAAAGAAAAATAACTACTTTTAAAGTCCTAACAAAATATGCCATTTGCTCTGGAAAAGCAAAGATAAAAAGAATGTCTCAGACACAGAAATTGTGGAGATATTGGTAGGCTGGTAATAATGATTTGTGGATGGATATTGTGACTTTAAAATGAATTGAAGTAAGAGTTGAGAGCTTGATCCTGTCTGGTGCTGAACACCTCACTGTTCAACAGTTTACAGGATGAGTCCTAATGTATCAGCAGATCTCAGTGAATTCCTGAAGTTGTTCACTTCTGCCTCTTCATCATTTGTGAAGTTACTTTACAAAAAAAAAATAAACTGGTCTCTTGTATTCACAAATACACTGTGTGCAGGCTGTATTATTGATCAGGCTGCAACAAATGAGTTGTTTCAAACAGATGGAAAAATGGTGTTCAGTTTTATTCTTTGCACTGTTTCAAATGGAAAAGCTGTCCAAAGAACAGTGGTTCCTGTTTGGCTTCTGATATTTTAACTGACAATCATTTGAGTTTGCATCCATGCTGAACTTCCATGAATGCAGACAAAAAGGAAATGGGAAAAAAACCATGTCTTTCAAAAATTATACCTTTGTCATTCATTTTATATAGTTTCAATGAGTTCCCTGGAAAATAAAGCTTTTCTTCTTGTCTTCAAGAAGCAAAATAAATTGCATTGCAGGCTGGCAAGTAGGAAGAAAACATATATTAGAAAAAGGACCAGAGCTAATAGCTATCTTGTGTTTCTCATCTAGAGGTCAGTAGCTCACTATGCCTCCAAAGCTACGGACACGCAAACCAAATTTGACATTTTTTTTGTTTTTTAATCACATTCCACATGATTTGTAAATTGCACAGCCTGCTGTACATAACTCAAGGCCAGCTGCAGTGTCAAACGGCATTTTAGAGGCTGTTTTCTTTAAATAAGATGTGAACCTTTCAAAGTAGCCTAGAAGAGTCTAACAGTTTGCAGCACTGTCAGTCATTATTAGTCATCAGCAGTGCAATTAACTGGAGGTATACAACGTCTAATATGCAAATGACACTGGATTTCTGCACAAAATTATGAACAATTTTAAGTTCATATATGCTTTGTATGTCCAGTTAGTTACCATAGCAACAGAAGAGAGGAACCTACTTATAAATGAAAAGTTAGGTCATGTCAGGTCTTTCTGCT